TTGACCTGGTTCTTCAACCATCCCAGTTGCGTCTTAAATGCCTTGTCTCACATCCATTACAGAATATTAAGCAGCAGAGTGTCGAGATAAGTGTTTTTTTAAGTATTATTTGTTTTAAAATGTATTGAAATAATATATTTTTAATTTTTAAGAATTATTTTTAGTATAGTTAGTTAAAATGATCTAAAATTATCAAAAATAATATTAATTTAAAGTAAAAAAATTATTTTTTTAAATACTGTTAAAATGAAAAACCAAAGAATCTCAAGGAAGAGTAAATTAGGCTATCTATAGATGATTCCCCCTTTCACAGCCGACCTACTTTTAATCTGCTGAGCGTAGTTGCTGACCAAATTAATCATATTATAAAGTAAGGTGTTTAGGTTTATCTATGATGTAACGAAAGATTCTTGAAAAAATTAAAAAAAAAAAATACATGGAGCATGAGACGACACTTTCACATGTAGCCGTACAATTAACTCTACACGTTGACTAAGAATATTTGCACCAATCAATGAAGAAAAATCTAAAAAGTATTTTACACGCAACAATCACTTTTCGAATGAATTAAGTACGATTGTCTTAACAAGCTCCCCTCGAGTACTTGAATGTAAAGGATTTGTTTTTTTTTTTTTTAATGGGAGTCGTGTTATATTATTAATTAATGAAATCCGTTGACTGTTATTTCGAAATGGATTTCCATGCTTTTTTTATTTATTTATAGGAGTTGGAATACTTTATTTAAAAATATATTAAAATAATTTGAAAATATATAAAAAAATTAATTTTTAAAAAACTCTTGATAAGTATATTTATGAGATGACAAAGTAATGAATAACACAACTAAGAACAATTAAACTTAAATCTTATTTATTTTTATATTTTAAAAGTATTTTTTAAAAATAATTTTTTATTTTTTTGTTTTAAATTAATTTTTTAAATACTTTCAGATCATTTTGATGTACTGATGTCAAAAATAATTTTATTTTTTTAAAAAATAATTTTAATATATTTTTTAGCAAAAAATAACCGCTACTATTTTACCAAACATCTCCTTCTAATTTTGAAAGAACTGATGTTTTTATCTTGGATAAATTACAAAATTGCTCTTATTTTATATGCTTATACTATATAGGTTGTCTATGTATTGTCACATGCTATTTCTAGAAATGTGTACTGTTTTCAATTACAAGACAATTCAAAAAAAAAAAAAGTGTTTTCTAAGCATGATTGCAATGTCTTAATTTATATTTACTTGAGTTTGATAAACATGTCAGATTTACGTTACTTTGAATTTGATTAATTGCCACATTCACGTTCTATGAACTTGGCCGGCACAAAGCCCAGGCACTTTGGGTATGCCCATCATGCCACACTCATGTTCTTTGGACATGACAAGTATGTCAAAACCATGTTACTTTTTTTATAAAAAAAAACATTGCAAATATAATGCATGTTAACAAGAATGATATTGACCCACATGTAAGTTTGCAATGGATCTACATTTCAAATATAATATGAATGACAAAATAAAATCATTTCCAACAAAATAAAATTAAACTCTAAATATCTTTTAAGACTATGATGAAGTACTAAATAAAAATGATGCATGTTGATATGAGTAATGATCAACGCATTCGGGCACGTACAACATCAAAGCTTAGAAAGTCAACGATCTTATATTTTTTTTCTTGTTGTTAGATTTTACACAAAAAACAACTAATTATGAGCAAGACTAGATAATATTTTTTTTCTTGTGATGCAAAATTCAAATAAATAAATAAAGGACTAAATATAATAACATGATATGTTTAAGTTATATTTAGAAAAGTAAGTGGAACACATATTAAAGGCAATAAGAAATTAAGATGTTGAGCTGCATTGATTAAGTAATAAAACATGGTAAAGGAGAAGTTGAGTTGCATTCATTAAGTAATAAAATATGGTAAAAGAGAGTGATAACACCTCCAAATTTAAGGAGTTAGATATGAGTGTTTTCTTCATCAATAAAAATGCACAACTGATTAAGTAATAAAATAACATGGTAAAAGAGAGTGATAAAACCTTCAAATTTAAGGAGTTAGACATGATTGTTTTCTTCGCCGATAGAAGTGCACGACATGAAATCTTGTTAATGACCATTGTATTTAAAATAAGAAACAATTGATCAACTGCTTAAAATATGATTAATAAACCTCGAAACCAAGCCTGAACGCTTTAGATTTGGCTAGTGTCTTGGGTCTAACAAATATATCAGGCCTCCATTGCTTAGATTTTACAAACATTTCAACTCACGTTAATGTGGCCTTAGCTTTTTTGCCAAGTCTATGCGCTTTGGACTTGATAGTCCACTAAGTTCAAGGATTTTAGATCTGACAAATGTGTCAGATCCACATCATGTGAACTTGGTTGACTTTCAAATTCATAAATATTGGCAATTGAAACATCCTTGAAAAAATAATAAAGCAATCAAAACCCTGATAGATAAGACAAGCAACAAAGAAAAAAAAGCATATTAATGCAGGTGTTAGAAAATCCAAAATAATTGTCTAATCTCATAATAAAAATCATGCATTTTAATCACAAAAACTAACCTCCAAGTTTTTCAAAAAATCAAATGAGCCAAACAGAAACCAAGCAATGCAACACAAAATGAAAATGTACGGTGAACCGACCTAGTTAGTATAAAAACCCTTGACTAACCAACAACTGCAATAACCATCAGAGTCTAAGCACACCCTAACGCCAAACTACAAAACAAATAAACATAAAAAATAACACCACCAATCTTTGAGAACCCAACCAAAACATAGGGATTTCAATACCTTAAAATCTAAAACCAAAGAGAATGAAACAAGACTAGACCCCTGGAAAATACCCCAAGAAACAAAACAATCGTTCCCAACGAAACTATATAAATTCTACCGGACTCTTCAAGAGAAAGAATGAATTATTAAATATTCTATAAACTAGCATATAAAAAAAAGAAAATGAAGCATGATTGTCTTAATTAATCTCAGACACAAAATCCATATGTAGTCCCTTGAATCCAACAAAATCTAAAAGAAATACTTAAAATAAACAATCTAGCATAATAACAAAGTATTTATACTTGCCCAAAACAAAAAGAAATATAAAAGAAACCACTATCATCTCATGCAAAATCTCATCCAATTACACCATATCAGCATTTTTTCAAGAACAATCATGTAACTCGGTACATTATAAGTAAGACCTGTATCTAATTATTAACTCCTCCACACTAAACAAATCCGGAGGATGATAGCTCATCAAACATCCACTTACAACAAACAACCGAGCAACCCAAGCCAAGCCAAGGTGTCAACTAACCCAGTACTGAAGTCGCCCCCAAAATCATACATGAATCTACAACAGATAACTAGCATCTTAGAAACCCCCATCTCTTACCAAAAACCCAACATGCTAGCTAACCCAGTCTTGATGTTGTCCTCAAAATCAAAGATGAATTCACAATACACCATTATATCATAAAAAATAATAAAAAGCAATTTGTTTATAACTTATTATGAAAATTAATTAATTTTCTTTTAATAACATTATTCCAATAAAACACTCACCATCTATACATAGATGACTGAGTTTTTTTACTATTTTTTATAATTTTAGAATCCATATTTTATCAATGATAATTTTTTAACGGTTTGCTGGTATAATTCCATCCACATTTCACAAGAAAAGTCAACAGGCTAGGTTGAAAGAACGTACAACATTTAAAACAAATTGACATCGGGAAGAAATTGCAAGAATCACTTGGTTAAATAAAATATTGCATGTATGAATTGCAATTCTTTATCCTTTTAAACAATTGTCATTATAATTTTTTTGGTGAAATTTCTCAGGCCATACAATTACTTAAAGAAGAAGCAAAGTTGTTCTCAAACAAACAGGGCCTTGATTTTATGATCTTAATGTCATTTTTTTAAAAAGCCTAATTGCCATTTTGATGCCAATCTTAGGATAAAGATATCTATCATATGACTAAATACATCAAGAATATTAAATTTCATAATAATTACATTAATGTTATAATTCTTATAAATCCTTACTCTAAAGATTTATTTTTTAAATATACACATAGCAAATGTTAAAGATTTAGACATGAATAAGTTTTTTACTATAGCACTTGGGGAAAAAAACTCCAGCGTTCATGAATATAATGATGGACTATATAATAACACTCTATAGTAAAAGGAGAAGAGAAGAAATAAATAAACATATTTGTATAAAAGCTTAAAAATAATTATTCTTAGGACAAAAGGAAATAATTAATAGCTTAAACGTAGGCATAGAAAACAGAAAAAAGAAATTAAATTATGAATTGTGTATTACTTAAGATCTCAAAAATAATGATTTGTTCACTATTCAAATAATGAATTATAATGCCAAAAACAGAAAGCTGAACAGATTCAAAATACAGGTATCTAGCAAGTTCTGTTCAACATATTTAAATCAGTCTAAGTTGGATTGATTTTTAAAATAATTTTTATTTATTATATTAAACTAATATTTTTTTATTTTTTAAAATCATTTTTAACATCGTATCAAAATAATTTAAAAATATTAATTTGAAAATAAAAAATTTATATATATATATATATAAAAGGTAGCGTCTTTTGGATTGCCTTGACTTTTCATCCGAAACCAAACAACCTTTAACTATTTAATATGCCTTGACGTTTCAATTTAGCACGTTACATTTCGGGACTATAAATATTCAAATAGTTTGTGTATTTTTGGAATTGTCATAATGTCTATTTAATTCGATAAAAATTACTTTTGAAAGTATAGTATATTTAAAAATATATTAAAATAAATTTTATTATTTTAAAAAATTCATTTCTCCATTAACACTTTAAAACAATTCAATTGTTTTTTTCTTAAATAAAACTAAAAAAAGGTAAGAAAATATAAAAATTTGAATGTAGAAAAATAGAGCACAGACACTACAAATATCAGTCTTCCAATTTCATTGATTACGGCGACAACTTCAGACTCCTAGTAAAATATCACAAAATAGGCGCCATTTAAAAAGAAAATAACAAAATACCGAACAGCAAACATAGCCGAGATAATGATAGATATAATCATAACATATAGTAGAGGAGAATAGTCAGTATACAACTAATTATAATAAGTCCGCAAACCCTACACGGGAAATGCCCTAGATACCTAGTTGTTCAACTGCAAAGCCACAGCATGAAGAGGATACTTCATCTCACAAGACAGTTTCAAGACCTCACTGAGATCCACTGGGTGCTCACCATCGTGAACCCACTTGAAATGGTGCACTAACTTGGCCACCCAAAGGGTCACGGTGACGAGCCCTAAGTTCTTGCCAGGACACACCCTACGCCCAGCCCCGAACGGTGCAAGCCTCAGATCACCACCTCTGACATCCACATCAGCTTCTATGAACCTCTCTGGCTTGAACTCCAGTGGGTCTTCCCAGACATGCGGGTCATGTGTGATGGCCCACATGTTGACCATGGCAGTGGTGTCGGCGGGGATGACCATTCCATTGCTGAGCTGGACGTCCGAGCTGCACAGCCTGGCCCAGGATAACAGTGGGCCCGGTGGGTGGACCCTGAGAGTCTCTTTCACGACGGCCTGCAAATAAGGTAGTTTTGACATTTCGGAGTCGGTCACCTCAGACAAGCTCCTGTCTTTCACAGCCATGTCAAGTTCCCTACGGAGCTTTTCTTGAACCTCAGTGTGCAAGACCAACTCGGCCATGACCCACTCTGTTAACAGAGCAGTTGTATCTGTCCCTCTAAATATCATTTCCTGCAAGACCAAACTCCGTGAGTCAGAAAACTTTTAAAAAATATCGGTTAGTAATGGCTCTTGATGCATAGTAAAGGACACGCACCCATAAGACAGCAACCATATCATCATCTTGAAGTTTCTCTTCACCTTCCAAAGACAGAAGAACATCAACAAAATCACCATCATCACCAACTTCTCCTGGCTCACCGTGTCTATGCTCTGCGATTATGTCCTTGACGAGCTTCCTAACTCGAGGAACGAGTTTCGAGCAACGCTTTTGTATACGAAATGGGTCGTAAAAGTAGTTGAGCCATGTCAAATAGTCACACCAGTTGAAAGCACCTAACAGCTCAAAACCTTCACTGACCATGTCTCTAAGCTCCTCAAGCTCTTGCCTATCTTGCGACATGTCGTATGTCTTTCCAAAAACACTTCCCATGATGTTGTTCAACGAGGCAAACTGCAGGTGTTTTCTTAGAGTGACAAAACCGTTGAGTCTTTGTTCGTTCGTAATGTTACGCAGCATGGTCGTACATTCTAGCTGGCGAAGAGATTCATGGGCTAAAATGCGCCGTGGAGAAAACAAGTGAGTGGAAGCTATTCTCCTCAGAAGCCTCCAGTAAGTGCCACTAGGCGCAAAGCCTATGGCTCGGCTAAACATGAGACTTTTAGCCGACTGTTTAATAGGGCGGTCAGCAAAGTAGGGAGAGGTCAAGATTTCTCGGGCAATATGAGGGTCAGAAGCCACAACAACAGGAGTGGAGCCGAGGCTGAATGCCATGAGCTGGGTGTTGGCTCGTTTCCAAGCCATGGAAGCAAGAGTGCGGTGAGCCAAGCCACGGCTCAAAGTGAAAAGGCTACCAAAGATTGGTAAGCCTCGAGGTCCGGGGATGGAGCGGTGACCTTTTTGGTTTCTCCCATTTTTCCATGCAACACCACCCACAGCAAAAGCCCATGTAAAAAAAGCAAGAGACACGAAGGCCATGGATAGAGAGAACAAAATAAAGCCATCCAAAAGACCTTTGGAACCTAGAAATGCTGGAAGAGTGAATACCCACCAGCTTGTGTCTTTTGTTACCAAATTCAGCTCCATTTTGCAAGCAAAAGTTCAAGAACTGAAGGATGGATGAAAAGAGCTTTCTTAGACACCAAGCAGGAAGCTAGGGGGGTATATATAGTAGTGTTGGAGAAGGATGTGGTGGTACTTTGGACAAATTAGGAAATTAACATAAAAAATAACGAATTAACACAGTATAAACAAGTTTCTGGTAAAATGGTATATTTTTTATTTTCATGGTCACCAGTCATGATGTTTAATTGCTGTCATAGACCAGTTAGAAACATTATATATAATTGAAAACAATAATAATTAAATATTGCATTTCTTTTTATAAATAATAAAAATTATTTAAAATTTTTATTTTATATTAAAAAATAAAATTTTTATTTAGTGTTGATATAAAAAAAATTAATATGAGATAGTAACCATAATTAACTAATGCATATGAAAGTAAACTGACTAAAAGAAAATTTTTTTATTTACCCCATCATCCCGCACGTGAGGTAACTTCTATACTCTTTAAATTTTTTCTATTAAAACCATTATTTTTTTAATAGTGAAACTTAATTTTTTAATAATTATAAAATTCTAACAACTTTTTTATTTTAAAATTTTGTTAATAGCTACAACTTTTTAATTTTAAGATTAGTGTCAATATTAAAATTGAATTATATCAATGCTTAAAAAAGATGGTGTCTGTTACAATTAAAATGTGCAAAATTAATTTACAACTTAAACAAAGGGTTATCAAGATAGTAAGGGATATAAAACTCGAACTTAGTGGTTGAATTTTTATAAGGGTGAATGTCTAGAATTTTAAAGGTTTGTAATCCGAGTTCTAAGCTTGACTTGCACTTTATTTGAATGCAAGCGTAACTAGACTGCATTTAAGATAATGTGTTTTTTTACAATATTGTTTTTAATGTTTAAATATTTGATAAGAATCTTATAAGTTATAAATTTGAATTTATTATTTAGTTTCATACAAAATAAAATAAAAAATCATTTGCACTAGGAAAAAAATTAATGACTTAGTATTTGAAATGGGTAATTTGAAATTGAATGCAAACCAAGTCAAAAACCAAGTTGATGATTTTGATGTAGTTTTAGATAATCTCTTATCTTGTGATGATTGGATAATTAAGGTAGAAAATCATGATGGTTTATCAAACTTTGATTTGCTTGATGTTACTGATAATGCAACCGAAGAAAAAATGTTTAAGAAGATGAAAGTGATGAAGAAAAATAAAATCTAATGATGCTTATATAGAGAGTCATGGTACTAGAGATGATTTTGATATTCAAATTGATGTTAATAAAGAAAATTCAAAGTGTTGGGCCAATAGCTCCCAAGTCAGTTGACTTTAGGTTATTAGGTGTTAAAACACCTCTTCGGGCTTAATTGCTTAGGTTAGGGAGGCTACGAAACCAAATTTTACAATCTGATTTCATATTTTATTTTTCGTGTAGTGTCAAAAAAATATTTTTGACAACCTTTACAATACTCATATGTATAATTTTCTAAATTCACACAAGAAAAGAAAAGTTAGAAATCGAAAAACACTACTCAAATACTTTGTTTTGTTTATCTAATTTGCTTTCTTTCATTATCTAATTTTCTAATTTTATGTTCTTATTTTGTTTATCTATTTTGCTTTCTTTCATTATGTCTA